AAAAGTAGAGGGCTAAAAAGTAAGCAAATATAAGTAAAAGCAATGAGTTAGTTTGCAGAATGAACCAAGGTAAGTAAACTAAAACATTTCAGTAGTACTGGAAGAGAAAAATTAATAAATAATGTCCAGTTATTAAGGGTCTGGAAATTGGAGAGAATTTCCAATGTTTGACAATAGTAATAATACTATCATAGAATAATTATAATTAAAATATAAAAATATTATAATAATAACAGAAGTGTTCTCTTTCCTCCAAATGCCTTGTAAAATAGCCACACGTTTATTTTCATTTTGTTGATGTGGAACAGGAGGTTGAGAGAGGTGATGCTTTCTCACTCCCCACATGGCCGCAACAGCCAGAGCTGATCTGATCTGAAGTCAGGAGCCAGGAGCTTCTTCCAGGTCTCCCACGCGGGTGCAGGGGCCCAAGGACTTGGACCATCTTTTACTGCTTTCCCAGGCCATAGCAAAGAGCTGGAGAGGAGCAGCCAGGACTAGAACTGGCACCATGTGGGATGCCGGCACTGCAGGCAGTTTTGGCTTTTACCTGCTACACCACAGCGCCAGCCCGGTGATGCTTTCTTAAATTGACAGAATTTGTTAGGAAATCAGAGACATACTAAGAAAACCAGAACTTTACTTAAGTTTATTTCTCCTCCTTGATGGATGTTTGAGGAAAATTCTTGCCAAACCCAGCTGCCCTCCTGGACATCAATTTCCAGACTACTTGCTCTGCTTCCTGCATAGCTCTTTCCCTTTGCAGGGCTTGCTCTGCTGGGACAGGACACTTTGGCTTATTAACTCCTGATCATATAATCAACTATCTCCCCTCACCTCAGAATAGAACAGGCCTGGCCACAGTGATATTTTTGTTGGATGTGTCAGGGTTAGATCTTAGAACAAACTTCTTACTGAGAGTGATTGAACATAGAGAGACAAACTTGTAACAGTCCATTAAGGAGTACCACGTGTTAAATGTCTGGGAGACTAGAAATTGGCAGGCTCAAAACCCACTTTCCGGGGGCTGGCACTGTGGCGCAGTAGGTTATTCCTCTGCCTGTGGTGCCAGCATCCCATATGGACGCTGGTTCTAATCCTGCTGCTTCTTTTCCAATCCAGCTCTCTGCCATGGCCTGGGACAGCAGTGGAAGATGGCCCAAGTCCCTGGGCTCCTGCACACATGGGAAGAAGCTCCTGGCTCCTGGTTTCATTCAGATCAGCACAGCCATTGTGGCCATTTGGGAAGTGAATCAGCAGATGGAAGACCTTTTCTGTTTCTCCCTCTGTCTGTAACTCTACCTCTCAAAATAAATAAAATCTAAAAACAAACAAACAAAAACAAACAAACAAACAAAAAACCACCTCACTCACTCCCTGGTGGGTGTGGAGTCCAAAAAATAGCATTAAGGGAGAGTTTGGGGCTACTATTCATGGCTGTTTGATTTGATGATGCTGAGAACATGGCATATGGAAGGCAAGGACTGGTTGAAAGTGGGATGCCCAAACCTGTTTTATAATTACCATTTCCCCTTTTACGATGGGGACATCTGGGAAATCGTTACATGCAACATGTAGAGTTTCAGGAACTCAGATATCTATTGGACCTGATATCATGACCCATATGAATCTAATTCGCTGCCCCAGGAATTAGTCTGCACGGTCTGGCAGGACTTTGGCCTGGCCATAAATGTATTCTTGGTGTCTATCTCAGCGTATTAAATGTATGTGGGACTCAGGGCTGGATCTGGCCAGGCCTCCTGAAAAGTGAGGATTCCTAAGGGAAGGCTAAACACCAACGCACAGGAAAGCATGATATTGAGAACCTTGGGAAAAGTATTCCAGTTTGTGAGGGCACAGGAATGTGGGGATGTTTTGCGGGCTTAGCAGTGCTTACCTCTTTCTGATACCTGCATTTCTCTCCACTGGATGATCAGCAGACATGTGTGCGTGGAAAGCCCTTTGTTGTGTGTAATGATGAATGCTCTGTGGACAGGAAAATGTAATGAGTAAGAAAATCTGTATTTTATATCAAATTCTGGGATTTTTGAGAAATTTGCTGAAAAGGAGGAGCAAGATCCGTAGTTATAAGGCAGGTAAACTGGTTGTATTATGTGTAACAGAAATTCTGTAACAACAAGAAAGACTGGAGGTGGTTGCCCATGTCTAAAGAAGTACAGTGAGGGCAAGCTGAACTTCTTCTACAATTGTAAGGAATTCTCCATACTGGAACCTGTAAGAGCCATGATTTTGAGACAGTGAATAGTAAATCATTTGGTATGGATGGTGCCTTAACCAAAGGCAACAATAGTCAGTTTACACTGTGTGTGTGTGTGTGTGTGTGTGTGTGTTGAAGTATTGCATGGTGCCCCATTAAGATGTACAGTAGTGGGGCCAACATTGTGGTGCTGTAGGTTAAGCTGATGCTTCTGACGCTGGCATCCCATAGTGGAGTGCCGACTGGAGCTCTGGCTGCTCCATTTCTGATACAGCTTCCTGCTCATACGCCCGGGAAGGCAGCAGAAGATGGCCTGATTGTTTGGGCCCCTGCTGCCCGTGTGAGAGGTTCTTCACTCCTGGCTTCAGCTTGAACCAGTCCTGGCTGTTGCACCCATTAGAGGAGTGAATCAGTGGATAGGAGACCTCTCCCTCCCCACCTTTCCCCCTTTCTCTGCTGCTTACATATAAATGAATAAATAAATCTTTTCATAAAAAATGGTATACAGTACTACATGATAATAAAGTATTTTTAAACAAAAATAAATTAAAAAGTGATTCACTTAATTTCATGATGTTGCAATTAACTAAAAATTCATTCTGGTACAAAGAGGAAAGTTTTGTGGGTTTTATTTATTTATTTATTTATTTTGAGGTTTTCTTTCAAGACTATTTCCAGTAGTAAAACCTGTCATTTTTATTACCACAAAACCTTTATAAACCATCTCCCAGCTTCATTTTACTGTTTGTTTGATGCTACTATAAATACAATTGATTTTTGTACATTGATTTTTTTCCAATAACCTTGATGAACTTCTTTACTTATACTAGTAGTTTATAGGTAGACTCTGTATTTTCTGCTTTTTTAAAAAATTATTTATTTATTTATTTTAAGAAGCATTTCCACTGAGATCTGGTACCAGACAGGGATGCCCACTCTCACCACTGCTATTCAATATAGTTCTGGAAGTTTTAGCCAGAGCCATTAGGCAAGAAAAAGAAATCAAAGGCATACAAATTGATAAGGAAGAAGTCAAACTATCCTTCTTTGCAGATGATATGATTCTTTATTTAGGGGATCCAAAGAACTCTACTAAGAGACTATTGGTACTCATAGAAGAGTTTGGCAAAGTAGCAGGATATAAAATCAATGCACAAAAATCAACAGCCTTTGTATACACAGGCAATGCCACGGCTGAGAAAGAATTTTTTTTTTTTTTTTTTGGACAGGCAGAGTGGACAGTGAGACAGAGAGACAGAGAGAAAGGTCTTCCTTTGCCGTTGGTTCACCCTCCAATGGCCGCCGCGGCCGGCGCGCTGTGGCCGGCGCGCCACGCTGATCTGATGGCAGGAGCCAGGTGCTTCTCCTGGTCTCCCATGGGGTGCAGGGCCCAAGCACTTGGGCCATCCTCCACTGCACTCCCTGGCCACAGCAGAGAGCTGGCCTGGAAGAGGGGCAACTGGGACAGAACCGGCGCCCCGACCGGGACTAGAACCCGGTGTGCTGGCGCCGCAAGGCGGAGGACTAGCCTAGTGAGCTGCGGCACCAGCCTAAGAACTTTTAAATCAATCCCATTCACAATAGCTACAAAAACAATCAAATACCTTGGAATAAACTTAACCAAGGACGTTAAAGATCGCTACGATGAGAATTACAAAGTTTTAAAGAAAGAAATAGAAGAGGATACCAAAAAATGGAAAAATCTTCCATGCTCATGGATTGGAAGAATCAATATCATCAAAATGTCCATTCTCCCAAAAGCAATTTATAGATTCAATGCAATACCAATCAAAATACCAAAGACATTCTTCTCAGATCTAGAAAAAATGATGCTGAAATTCATATGGAGACACAGGAGACCTCAAATAGCTAAAGCAATCTTGTACAACAAAAACAAAAAATCACAATACCAGATTTCAGGATATACTACAGGGCAGTTGTTATCAAAACAGCATGGTACTGGTACAGAAACAGATGGATAGACCAATGGAACAGAATTGAAACACCAGAAATCAACCCAAACATCTACAGCCAACTCATATTTGATCAAGGATCTAAAACCAATTCCTGGAGCAAGGACAGTCTATTCAATAAAAGGTGCTGGGAAAACTGGATTTCCACGTGCAGAAGCATGAAGCAAGACCCCTACCTTACACCTTACACAAAAATCCATTCAACATGGATTAAAGACTTAAATCTACGACCCGACACCATGAAATTATTAGAGAACATTGGAGAAACCCTGCAAGATATAGGCACAGGCAAAGACTCTTTGGAAAAGACCCCAGAAGCACAGGCAGTCAAAGCCAAAATTAACAATTGGGATCACATCAAATTGAGAAGTTTCTGTACTTCAAAAGAAACAGGAAAGTGAAGAGGCAACCGACAGAATGGGAAAATATATTTGCAAACTATGCATCAGATAAAGGGTTGAGAATCTACAAAGAAATCAAGAAACTCCACAACATCAAAACAACCAACCCACTTAAGAGATGGGCTAAGGACTTCAATAGACATTTTTTGAAAGAGGAAATCCAAATGGCCAACAGACACATGAAAAAATGTTCAAGATCACTAGCAATCAGGGAAATGCAAATCAAAACCACAATGAGGTTTCACCTCACCCCAGTGAGAATGGCTCACTTTCAGAAATCTACCAACAATAGATGCTGGAGAGGATGTGGGGGAAAAGGGACACTAACGCACTGTTGGTGGGAATGCAAACTGGTTAAGCCACTATGGAAGACAGTCTGGAGATTCCTCAGAAACCTGAAGATAACCCTACCATACAACCCAGCCATCCCACTCCTTGGAATTTACCCAAAGGAAATTAAATTGGCAAACAAAAAAGCAGTCTGCACATTAATGTTTATTGCAGCTCAATTCACAATAGCTAAGACCTGGAATCAACCTAAATGCCCATCAGCAGTAAACTGGATAAAGAAATTATGGGATATGTACTCTATAGAATACTATACAGCAGTCAAAAACAATGAGATCTCTCTCTCTCTAAGTCTGCCTTTCAAATAAATAAATCTTTTATTTTTTAAGAAAAGAGCAACTCATACTCAAGTGGTCAGGAAATAGATTTTATGTTTTGATAGGAGGAACTACAAAGTCCTATTGTAAGTGGGACGAACACAGAAAGGGTACAGAATTGGAGCAGTTTTTGCAGTTGATTACAGTGTTTTCATCTGAGAAATAGATGTAGTTTCTTCCAAGACCCCCAGAAGTCTGCCAGATCATGACCTCGTGCTCCAGGTCTTGGATCCCTTCTCAGACATCAGGTCCAGAGGCAGCTGCTCTTGATCTGCAGGCCTGTTATAGTGGATGCTGTGGCTCACCCCCCCACCCCAGCCTCGAGATGACTCCTTCCAGGCCAGTCCATTCATCCCCAAAGTTCTGGGAATACTGATGGCTGGGTAAGGAGCCCTGGGGAGCCACAGCCCCTGAAACACAGCGAGGGTTAGAAGTAATACTTCTGACATGCAAGTGATCCACTCAGGCAACTCTTGCCAAATCCCAGCCCCAATTTGTCTCTAAGTGAGGCAAGACCGGTTTTAAAGGGCTTGGAGACTGAAGGTTGAATGCCACCAGGAATCAAGTTCTGAGTGACAGCATGAGTCTGAGTCACCAAGACCAGCTGAAGGTGAGGGCCGTCTGGAATAGACAGCTGGGAAGGGCTGAGAAGCAGCAGCTGTGGCTGCTACCCCAGCTCCAAGGACTGAAGCTACAGTTTGTCCCACAACTCCCTTCTGCAGGAAGAGGAGCCCCATGGGATCTTAGAGAAGTTCTTCTAAGAACATAGAAGAGGGCATGCATTCAAGCGGCATGGACGGTGGACGTCGTGGACACTGAGATGTGCCACCTGCTCCACCAGGGAACAGAGATGCATTTCCCAGCTGCCGACTCTGTTTGGGGCCTGCCGTGGCCATCGGCAACTCACCAGCTCTGGGCCTCCCTCGCCTCCCACGTCTGGGTCCCTGCTCTGAGAAGGCTCAGTTTCATTCACTGCATTTCAGGTTCTCGCCTGCTCTCTCAGACACACTCCAACCCAGGCTGCAGCCTGCCACTCCGCAGTCACCGCAGCTCGCTGGTGGCACCGACAGCACGACATCTGTCACTCTAGCCCTGTCTTGCATGTCAGGCAGTTTCTCATTCCTCCCTCCTCCTCCACCTCCTCCCTACCTGAACTGTGTGCTCACTCCTCCCTCTGCTGGCGCCACCCCTCTTTGCTTCCTTATCTCCCAGGGGTTTGAGCTTCTCCCTGGGGTCCTTACTGACTCCCTGCCTTTCTGTTTTTCCTACCACACATCTCTTCAAAAACACTTACAAAGATATTACAGAAAAAAGATTTTTTTTAAAAAAAGTCAATTATCGCTCTTGTCCACAGGAAAGCAAGTTCACTGCAGGGATGATCTGGTTTGTGTCTATTTGTCTTGTGTATATCCTGTTCCAGTACCTAGGACACAGCAGGCACTCAGTATGTATTTGTTTAATTAATGAATTAGGAGGGAAAATGTGAAAGAAAAAATATCAAATAGGTGGAAATTGTCTTCAGAGTCCTTTAACCACCCATCAGAACACAGAATGGAAAAATAACCTGATCATCTGACCAATGGACACTTGTTGAGCTATCCTCACTTAGCTCTTCATTTAAAATCACAGTGGGCGAAGCACAACACAGAGGCATACGCATGACATTTGTTTCCCTGGGATGCAATTATGCATCCTGCAGTCGTGCACAGTGGGTGGATCACTTCTGCCTAAGCCTTCATGTTCTCAATGTAAAGATCAGTCTGTATTTTTTATGTGAGTCATGGGTTAGTGAAAGGAAGAATCTGTGTAGAATAAGGACAGAATATTTCTGTTTTATTGTTTAATTTGCAGTATTCTGCAAGTCCCAGGAACAGTAGAACAATTAGAATACATTTGATTCATCCAGCTTTATAGCTAAGAGGGTGAACTAACTATACTTTCTAAACGGCTTTTTTATTGAGTAATTGAAAGGTGATATTAGGTCATGATTAAGTGTCCATGGGCAGTGTCTCCCTGACCTCTCCATGACATTCATTATTCTCAGTTCTAAAATTTTTAGAGAAAAAAGCAGTGAAACAAATATTCTACAGAAAAAATCATATTTTGAAGAGAAATGGCCAGGAACTCCATAGGAGCTTCCAAAATCCATATATCAGTAGAAATTTTACTCAGTCTCTTGATCTCCTGTTTCCACTCTAAAATATTAATTAAACAGTAATGCACATACAAATAGCAAAACAAGAAAGGGATAAAAATCTGCAGAATCTGCAAGCCACTTCTGAAGTGGGAGGTACTAGAGCTGGTTAACTGAGCAAGTTATTTTTTCTCTCATTCAGGCTTTTGGCACTATAAAGGGACATCTGATTTTCTAGAAAAAATAAGTGCTTTTCTGGCACTACTTCTAAGATCTCCTTGTGTGTGTGTGTGTGTGTGTGTGTATTTGTTGAGGACATACTAAGTGCAAAGGATCGTGACAGAACTTGGCAGGGAGCAATGACACCTGGTGTCCGCATTCGTGGCTGGTGTTTTGAAAGCTTAGATCACTGCTCTGGCCTGCATTGGAGCTCTACGGGGCAAGAATGCTCGACTTGGAGGGACCTAAGAGAGCAGCAGTGATTGTCACTCAGGAATATTGCGTCTTCTTCACCTGCCCAAACCCCTGAATTCCACATCTGTCCTGGCGCCTCTCCGGCTCACGCTGCCAGAACATCCCTTCGTCTGCTGGGTCTGACGAGGGCAGGCCCGCACCTGGACACTCACGACTCCGCTTTTGCACTCCCCTTCCCCAGCACCTTCTTCACGGCCTCTTTGACATCTTTGTTCCTCAGTGTATAAATCAGGGGGTTAACACTGGGCGTGACGATCGTGTAGAAAAGCGTGAGGAATTTGCCCTGGTCCTGGGAATATGTATTTGCTGGTTGGAGGTACATGTATATGATTGTTCCGTAGAAGAGAGAGACAACGATGAGGTGGGAACTACAGGTGTTGAAGGCTTTCTTTCGCCCAGCGGCTGATTTGATCCTGAGCACGGCTCGCGCAATGTAACTGTAAGAGATGAGGATGAGGATGAGCGGCACCAGGATGATGAAGATTGCCAAGGCGAAGGCCAGTGCCTCAAGGGCCATTGTATCCACACAGGCCATGCCAATTAGTGCTGGCATCTCACAGAGAAAGTGCTCCACACGCCTGTGCCCGCAGCGAGGTAGCATCAGTGTCTGGGGTGCCATGATGAGGGAGTTGCCAAAGCCACTCAACCAGGCCACGGAAGCCAGCTGCCCGCAGAGACGTGGGTGCATGATGACGGCATAGTGCAGGGGCTTGCAGACGGCAGCGTAGCGGTCATAGGCCATGACAGCCAGCAGGACACACTCCACACCGCCCAGGGCCAGCACGAAGTAGAGCTGGATGGCACAGCCCACGTAGCTGATGGTCTTGTCGGGGCCCCACAGGTTGTAGAGCATCTGAGGGACGGAGCCTGTGGTGAAGCACATGTCCAGGAATGAGAGATTGGCCAGAAAGAAGTACATGGGCGTGTGCAGCCGGGAGTCCAAGGCGGAAAGCAGGATGATGGTCACGTTGCCCAGAAGGGTCAGCAGGTAGAAGGTGAGGACCACTAGGAAGAGGGTCAGCTCTAGGCGGGGCCGGTCAGAGAAGCCCACCAGGATGAAGCCTTCGAAGGAGCTGGTGTTGCCGTTCCCCATCACCTGTGGCCACATGGTAGCTGCTGGGAGAGATGAGTGTTTGTGAAGCTCGGAACTGACTCCTTCAGAGTAAAGGGCCTGGCAAAATGGCAGGACAGACGCTTCCTTGGAAATGTTGGCTGCTTTAGCCAACTTCCAATAGACATGGATTAAGTCATTTTTGGTCTGAGAAACAGTATTTGGGAGGTTTTCAGGTTCCTGGACGTGTTTACCATCATTTTTGCATCAGTCTTTTCAATTAGGCAGCATGTGAAAAACATCTTCCAAAAGTGAATAGTTTACAGGGCGTGAACCCTCGGCATTTTCCACTTCTTAAAGGAGGAGCCTAAATGTTCCTCGCTACGTGGGACCTGTGGATCAAGATCCTTGCTGGTATCTCTGGAGCAGAGAGCCAGGTGGGCTGGGAGGTAAAATCTCGTTCTAGAAGACTGTCTGTCAACACTGGGAGCCTAGAGTCAAATCCAAACTCAACTGGTGGCTAGTGATCAAGCAACGTGTGAGGAAGCTGATTACCTCACAGTGTTAGATCCACACCTCTGATCCCACCATTTCTAGTCCCTGGAGGTTGGCCCTGGCGTGCAGCTGTCAGGGGAGACAATAACAGAATCTCCTCTGCCCAGCCCAGGCTAAACCTCCATCATAAAGTCACGCCCCGAGGGGTACCTGAACCCTGGAACTGGGTGACTTTTCCATGTTGGGAATGCTTTCACAGGAAGATGGAGAAGACAGGAATAAAGCAAGTCCCAGCTAGATCCCATGGACTAATGCCCAGGGCTCTTCTAACAGCCTTTCCTTTAATCCCGCTTCATTCTTAAAGAGAACTCTACTTCTAGAAAGCCTCTGGTGACTATTTTATTTATTTGTCTTTTAGGATCCCCTAGAATTAAAAGTCTCTTACTCATCTCCAGTTGTACTCAACGTTGTCAGTTATTTGGGGTGGTTACTGGCTGAGTGTACTAAACTGACCCAAGGCTGAGCTACACTTATCCATGCTTTTAAAATATTTTTCTAAGCAATATGAGGAATGTTTAAATATCAGTAATTAGTAACAAGTAATAGGGTTGTGACTCGTATTGCATCTGTCAGGTAGGTTACAGAAAATAGGGTCAAATACACTGCTGTACGAACTCTGTACCACAAGTAAATCACGTGGCACACATTCCCCAGAACGGCTTTCAGATTTTGAACGCTGAAACTTTGACATGTTTGGAAACTAAAGGATTGTCAAGGTCAGCACTCTAGAGGCTGCAGTAAGTTTCGTGTGTGGGGGTGTGTGGGGGTGTGTGTGATGGCATCTGGGTGATAGCTGGGCACCGATACCATCATGCCAGCCTTGTTAAGGGCTCTCCCACAGCCTCTTGTTAAATGGAAACTGAGAAACACGCAGTTATACAGCGCTGAAGAACATGTAGATTATACACACGAACTAGGAGGGCAGATGGCAAACTGATGGTAGCAGGTATCTTTGGTGTGGAAGATGGATCAGAGGCCTGGGCTTTCTCTGCATTTATAGTGCTTTGTTTCTTTGAAAATACCTGAAAGGAAGTATGAACATAAACGAATAGGTGTTTTTGAATGGTAGCATATATGTGTTTTTCTATCATCTTTATGAATCTCTATACATTTTAAATACCTCAAACTAGAAAACAAAAAATAAAATCATGAATTATGGTTAATTAATTAATTAATATTCTGTTCTTGTGAGCAGAGCACTAATGGTAGCTGTTTGCTGCATGTACCTCACTTCAGCATCAAAGTAGCCCCAAGAGGCCAGCAGTTTCATTCCTGAACGTTGCACACCAAGCCACGGAGGCCAGAAGAGTGAGGAAATCACACAGCGTATACGGAACCCACTGGATCCCCTGTGGTTTCACTGCAAAGATCCCTCCCAGCCACCAGGACTCTGGGCAGCACAGAAACCGCACCAGGTCTGCACACAGAGAAGCTGAGACTATGACTGTGTTTTTGATTCGTTGCATAAGGCTTACTAGGCAGAGGCTTCTTGCTATACTCTGAATTAATCAAGTAGGTAGCTGTCTCTGTGTTATAGGCAAAGATGTAGACAAACAAATCACATTTTTAAAGCAGAAAATGAGAAATACAGGGAGAAGCTGCCTGCTAAGAGGTTAGTGCTGAGGAGAGTGGGCACACGGACTGCCGGAAGGAGCCACGCTGGGGCCATCTGACCTCTGGGATGGAATTGCAGAAGGCTGTGGTCCACAGTGGCAGTCTCAGGCCACAGCTGCCACACCCAGAATTCTCCCTGACACATGACACACATGTGACTCTCAGCCACCACAAAGCAGAACACGAACCCAAGTTCTTTTCCTTTCTGTCTTAGTTCTTCAGCTAACCAGGGACTGCCCAGTGAGCATTCTCCTCATGACCTTTTGCTCTGTTTTGGGTCTTTCAAGTGTCAGATCACCTGTTCACTGCCTCCCTCCTCACCGTGTCACATCAGTTCAGTCACCATTTCTCTTCACAAGGGCTTCCCTTTGTGACGAGTGCATTTCTTGTTTCTTGACTTTAAGTCACTAACAGCTACTTCCTCTGTTTGCCAAGAATATTATCTGAGGTGTGTGAGTGCGTCTATCCTTATTTGAACCCGACAGAATGGCTGTAACCACAATGCCACGACAGTTTCTCACAAGAGCCACATTTAACCATAGCATTCAGACTGTGGAGTCTTGGCATAGGAAAATGAATTGTCCGTGCTCTGGCCATAGCCTAAGATTCTAAGGAAATAGATCACTGGTTAGTTTGCATACCTCTGCCACATTTCTTGGTACACGAGAGCATCAACTTACCAAAGCTGACCGCAACCTCAGAAGTGCCATGTCCATGGCTCCTTCTCTTTCTTGGAACTTCACGTGGAAGTCCAGGTGGGCTGACCTGAATAAAGACAAGGGGAGGAGAAAGAGGGCATTTACATTACATTTATGAGAAAGGAAAAGACCAAGGGGCAGCAGGACCTCATAGATCAGAATCTGGAGGAGTGAAGAGTGGGTGGTGAAGACGGCTCAGCAGTTACACACTCTGGGGTACGACCCTTAGGTCCATCCGTAAAGCCCACCTCCGCCCCCAGAGAAGGAGCAGAGGAGGGCAGCGCGCGGAGGCTGCGGTGTCAGGTGCACTGAGCACAGGGACCACTGAGGAGGAGGAACTACTTATGGGGCTCAGTCGACGTAGGATTGGACGCTTCCTTGTCTGTGTCACCCTGTGGAATAAAACTTCCATTTCCAAAATTCCCTTAACTAATTATCGATAATAAGGGTTGGAAGAGTGTGTGGTCTCAGAGGAAATGTCACTGCTCCCAAAACGCACGTGCACACGCGCACACACACTCTGCAGATTTCGTCGAGGCAGATGGAGAGAGCGCTGAACCATCTTCACTGCGTCCGTTTGCACCACCAAGTCCAGCAGTTAGCAGTGAGCCCTGGCGTGGCAGGTGGCCACTTCATGCTCAGTTCAGAATGGAGCCTAGAGTCAAAGAGGAGTTGTATGAGCCCAGAGAGGTGCCTCAGTTTCCTTCTGTGACACACATCCTCCACCATCTACCTTGTGAATGCATTGCAAACATGAGCTATTATCTAAGTGCTTTCAGCAGCTTGCTCCCTTATGATTAATTTTCTATGCAATTTTAATCCATTACAATAAAGCTTAACTTGAATGTTTTCTACTTAAGGTAGGTGTATCAAGAGGAGGAGGGCAAATTAAACAGGAAAAAGATTGATTTTGACACTGACACTCCTTGAAAATTAACCTAGAAATAAATATAGCCTGAAATATTAAAATAATTTTATTTCAACTGCCTACTTTGGTGTAAAACTTTTAAATCTCAAGAAACTTACTAACCATTTGACTGACAGTTAAGTCATTAATATAAATTAACAGGTTTGGGTTTTATAAAAAATAATAACAGTATGCACGTAATGTTTCAGATCACTTTGCCATCTATTGAGGTCACAGGATAGATCATATGCATACAACTACATATCAAAAACATGCCAACTATATTTAGCTTCCAGAGACTTCTAAGTGAGATAAACATCTCCTCTGTGTAGTAAGAGATTTAATTGATGCACATGAGACACAAATCACATATAAATGTTCTTTGGACATTTAAATTTTTCATAATCGTTATTATTAACAATACCTTAAGGTCTGCTAACTTCAATGACACTTCCAGGCAATTTTTCAAGTAGAAACAGGTAATATTTGGTCATTACTGTGTCACGTATTACATCATAAATACAAACATTACTAAAGCCATATAATATGACCTTAGTCCAACTTATTGTCCTGGTGGGCATGGACTATATTGGCTAGAAACAGTGATAATATCATCTCCATTAATTTATAACCAAATGGTGTACAAAGATATTTTTCTATTAGCAGAAATATTATAATATGTAGATGAGCAGTCAAAACTGATCAATATTAATGCTATATTTTCGCTTCTTCCTGGCATAGTTGGGTGAGCCACTCCACTGAGAGTGGGTGCTTGCACTTAGACTGAGTTATTAGCTTGTCTGCCATCTCTTAGGCTGATGTTTGCTCTTGGAAACTGCGGAGAAATACCTAGTGAGTGTGATGCTCCCAAGAATTTCCTATCTGAGATAATGAGTCCCGCTGAGAAATGAAAGAGTTGAGATACCCATGGGACAGGTAACAGTGCTACTTCTACTCTTTATTCACACTTGACCCATCACAACCCCTTACTCAGTAGAAATACATTTATGGTTGTAACTGACGGAGATGCTATGGTTGTGGGAAGCTATTCTCTGAAATAAGTTGTAAGTGATCGTGAGAACTGTTTTCCAGAAGTTTTACCACATGAACTAATTTGGTGTTGTGATATGTCATAGAATGTGTTCAGAAAAAGAAATGAAGTTTACATCAGAAATCTTTCCATCAAATGAAATTACATTTAAACAAATTCTCTTTTCATTAATCTAATCATGATTGCTCTGACTTTTAAGGAAGTGAAGAACCGATTATTTATAATACTTTTA